CTTCCAAGTCACCCAGTCTTCTGTGTGCCCAGGAGGGAGTTTCTCATTTGATATCAGCCACTGATTGAGGTTCCAGGTTTCAGCCTGCCACTTTTGGACTCTTGCTTGCTGAGGTGTTCCTGCAAGTATCTCTGTAGAGCTTAGGAAGCTGTTTCTTGATTTAAGGCATTGGTATGCTGACTGATAGTCAAACAGAGGATGGTCCTTTAATTGCTGGCTGCTACTTCCCAATGGATATCAGGTGGTGCAATACCAGCTAAACAGTATGATTTCTCCAGCGGTGTTGAGTATAGACATCCTGTGATAGTGTGGCATGTCTCATTAAGAGCCACATCCACTGTGGTGAGATGTATTCCACACTGGGCATGCATATTCAGCACCAGAGTAGCAAAGCGCAAGGGCAGATGTCTTCACTGTATCCAGTTGTGATCCCCAGGATGTGCCAGCCAGCTTTTGTATGATATTATATCTGGCACCCACTTTTTGCTTGATATTCCAGCAGTGCTTCTTGTAAGTCAGAGCGCAGTCCAGAGTGATTTCCAGGTATTTGGGTGTGCTGCAATGCTCCAGCAGGATTCCTGGAGCACTGCAGCACACCCAAATACCTGGAAATCAGAGCTCGAGATGCTTGTCTGTTCTTAAGATGAAAAGCACATGTCTGCATTTTAGATGGATTAGGAATCAGATTATTTTCCCTGCAAAAGGCAGTAACAGCGCCTAAAACTTTGGAGAGCTTCCATTCAACTATTTCAAAGCTTCCTGCTTGAGCGATGATGACACAATCATCAGCATAGATGAAACTCTCTGTCCCTTCTGGTAGTTCCGCATCCTAAGTAAATAGAGAAGAAAGGTGCCTGTGTTTTCATGGACACATTTTATTTTATGTTTATCCTACTTTTCTCAGGATAAAATTAATGACTTAAGGTGGCTACTTTATTGTGGTCAGAAAAATGTCTAGGCATTAATAAAACTGCATTATGTGAACTGTTGTCAGGACAGCTGGATGGGTGAGGATTACATTGTAGAAAAAAGCAAATACACAGTGATAGGTTTTAATGTGGAATTACAAGAAGCTATTATCAAGCTTGGCCCTTGTGCAAAGAAAAAACAACTAGCAAATTATATGCAGGCACACAACTTTGATCATTTTGTGAAGCAAAACAAGTTTTTTCATGCATTCCGTGTGTGCGTTTGGGTGTAGTAAAGCATTTTATCTTTGCAAGGATGACAAAATAGCATGAACTAAACTGCCTTTTTGGAGGTAGAGACCATCTCTCTTATTTCTTGCTTCTTATTTATTTCTTGTGTTGAGATCAGAAAACATTATTCGTTGGCATACACCATAGATTTTGTTCAGCCTAGTCTTTGTTTCCTGATCTTAGATATGAGAGCTGAAAGTATGCAAGGTCAATTCTTAATTCCTACAGAAAAAAAGACTACTTGGAAACCCTCCTCCTGAATCGTCAGAAGTGTGGTGATGTCCTCCAAGTGGAGTAAATATCTGGAGAGGTTGTTGAAGGTGGCAGTATTTCTTTCTGAAATTCTTAAGGGTTTTTTAAAATATAAATATATAAATAATATTCCTGTTGTTTGTGGCAATTCCCAGCTCCAGCTGTAATATTTTATTTCTATTTATTGATTTATTTACTCTATTTATATCCCACCTTTCTCTACCCCAAAAGGGACTCAAGGTGGCTTTACATATGGCAACTATTCAATGCCTTTGAACAACAAAGGTTTCCCCCAGGCAGTAAGAAGCTACACTTTGAAAACTACTAGGCCATTAAATTCTAATCAAGGTGGCCAATTGAAATATTCACACTTGGCTCCAACAGACAATAGTTCTTTCTCCCACCCTGGACATTCCACAGATATATAAACCCCATTTTCCTAGTTTCCAACAGACCTCACAACCTTTGAGGATGCTTGCCACAGATGCAGGAGGAACGTCAGGAGAGAATGCTTCTGGAACATGGACATAYAGCCTGAAAAACTTACAGCAAACCAGTGATTCTGGCCATGAAAGCCTTCGACAATACAAGGAATGTTGTTTATCTATACACATATACAGTGAATGTGTGTGTGTGTGTGTGTGTCTGGAGTGTCCACTTAGACAGACAGTCTCCTGCCTCCACACACAGCTATAGCTCCCATAGGTCATAACTCGTATTTATATGTTGGGTTGTTTAAATTTTGTTAATATGGATGTGTTGTTGTTGTATTCAGGCATTGAATGTTTTGCCTWTTATGTTTGGAATCTGCCCTGAGTCCTTCAAGTAGATAGAGCATAATATAAATAAAGTATATTATTATTATTATTATTATTATTATTATTATTATTGTTATTATTGTTATTATTATTTTTATTAGAAAAACAACAAGATGAGTCCTCAGCAAACAAGATCACTCTGCTGGCTGTTGTATTGGATCACATGTCGGACACTTCTCAAGTGTCTAGGACTGTGTTATGTATCGGCGAATAATGCGTGCAGATCTCAGTAAGGTGGCCTCTTGCAGCTGGCAGATGCTAATTTTGTCAGCGCTGATTGTGTTGAAGTGCAGGCCAAGGTCTTTAGGAACTGCACCCAGTGTGCCGATCATCACTGGGACCACCTTTACTGGCCTGTGCCAGAGTCTTTATTATTGTTATTGTTATTTTACTGACACAAAAACACAGTATGTCACAGCGAACGAGATCTACATGCTGGATTTTGTATCACAAAACCACAAGTCGAACACTTCCCAAGCATCTAGGACTATGTGATGTATTTTTGAGTGATGCGCGCAGATCCAAGTAAGGTGGCCCTTTGCAGTTGACAGATCGTGATTTTGTCAATGTTTATTGTTTCCAAATGCCAGCTGAGATCTTTTGGCACGGCACCCGGTGTGCCAATGACCACTGCGACTACCTGTACTGGTTTATGCCAGAGCTTTTGCAGTTCAATTTTGAGGTCTTGATAGCGGCTGAGTTTTTCCTGTTGATTTTCCTCTCCTAGTATGGCGACATCAATAATCCAGACTTTTTTCTTTTCCAAAATCATGATGTCTGGTGTATTGTGTTCCAAAACTTTGTCAGTCTGGATTTGAAAGTCCCACAGCATTTTTGCATGTTCATTTTCCATGACCTTTGCGGGTTTATGATCCCATCAATTCTTTACTGCTGGCAGGTGGTACTTGTGACATAAGTTCCAGTGAATCATCTGGGCCACAGAGTTGTGTCTTTGTTTGTAGTCCGTCTGTGTGATGTCCTTGCAACAGCTGGGGATATGATCCATGGTTTCATCAGCTTCCTTGCACAGTCTACATTTTGGGTCATCCGTTGATTTTTCAATCCTGGCCTTAATTGCATTTGTTCTGATGGCTTGCTCCTGGGCTGCAAGAATCAGGCCTTCTGTCTCCTTCTTCAAGGTTCCATTTGTGAGCCATAACCAGGTCTTCTCCTTGTCAACTTTTCCTTCAGTCTTCTCAAGGAAGTGCCCATGCAAGGCTTTGTTGTGCCAGCTGTCAGCTCTGGTTTGGAGTGCAGTTTTCTTGTACTGATTCTTTGTCTGCTGTGCTTTGAGAAGTTTTTGGTTATTGACTTCAATTAAAGCAGGTTCTTTGCATATTCTGCCAGGGCATGCTTTTCTTCTTCGACTGCTTGTTTTACTTGTAAAAGTCCTCTGCCACCAGACTTTCTAAGATAGAGTCAGTCAACATCACTGCGAGGATGTAGTGAATTATGAGTGGTCTTGAGTTTTCTTGTTTTTCTGTCCAAATTGTCCAGTTCTGCCTGCATCCATTTTATGATGCCAGCAGTATGTCTTATGACAGGTATGGCCCAGGTGTTTACGGCCTTGATGATATTGCCTCCATTGAGCTTGCTTTTGAGAATTTTTCTGACCCTTTGAATGTAATCTTTGCTGATCACAGTTTTCACATGTTCATGTTTGATGTTGTCCAGCTGTAGTATGCCCAGATATTATAGGCCTCTGGCTGGTGACATTTTATCACTTGGCCATTGGGCATATTTATGCCCTCACTTTCAATGATTTTTCCCTTCTTCAGTGCCACTGTCGAACATTTGTCCAAACCGTGCTAAAGATTCGGACAGTGATAGTCAGAGACTGGATTTCAGTTTCAGTTTTCCCATACAGCTTCAGGTCATCCATGTACAGCAGATGTGAAATTTTGTGAGATCTCTGAGACGTTTGATAGCCCAGGTTTGTTTTTTGTAATGTTGTCGACAGAGGGATCATGGCAATGATGAAAAGCAGTGGGGACAACGAGTCTCCCTGGAAAATTCCTCTTCTGATGTTGACAAGTCCATAGTTTTCATTTCCAACAAACAATTCAGTTTCCCAGTGCTTCATCATATTTTCAATAAAAGTCCCAACATTTTTACAAATCCCGATGGTGTCTAGGCACTTGATGATCCAACTGTATGGGAGTGAGTCAAAGGCTTTTTGGTAGTCAATCCACATCATGTGAAGATTGGTTTTTCGGCTTTTGCACCTCTCCGGAATCATTTTTTCAATTAATAACTGTTCTTTTGCGCCCCTGCTTTATTTATTTATTTATTATTAGAAACACAACAAGATGAGTCCACAGCAGACACTCTGCTGACTGTTGTATTAGATCACAAGTTTGCAGCTGGCAGATGGTAATTTTGTCAGTGCTGACAAAATTACCAAGGTCTTTAGGCACTGCACTCAGTTATTATTATCATCATCATCATCATCACCATTATTGGTTTGCAATCAAACTGTGAGGGCTTACGATAGCAGCAGGAACAACAACGAAAGTTGCTACAACTCCTCAAGCCGCTGTGCGACTATGGGTGGGTGCGTCTACTCAGGAGAATGAATGTAGTTTGACACCGCTTGAACTGCCGGGGCTCAGTGCGATGGAATCCTGGGCGTTGTGGTTTTGCAAGGCCTTGAGGCTACTCTGCCAAAGGCGGGGAGAGTCTGTGTGTCCCCCCTCCCCTTTTCCCTCTTGACCACATTTCCAAGGCCGTCATATCCGCCGCTGGGCCGGCTTTGGGAAGTTCCCCGGCGCTTGTTTGCCAAAGGAGGAGGAGGAGGAGGGCTAGGGAGGCGCTTGGAGCGCTTCGCTTTGGCGGAGAAAGTTTCCCTGGAGTGGCGGCGAGGGCTTCGAGGAGCCTGGACGGGGAAAGGCGTGATGCTGCTGCAGCCGGGGCGCCGGAGAGCCGCCTCCCTCGTTCCCCTCCTCCTCCTCCTCCCCCTTCCTCTTTAACCAGAGCCGGATCGGGACGCCGCCGGGATGGGCGAGGGCTCTTCGGCCGGGTTCGCCCTCTTCTCCGCCGTGCTCGCCCTCCTCGCCGCCTCCGCCCGCTGCCGGGCTCCCTTCGCCTTCCCGCTCCGAGTGGCTTCCCCGCCGTCCCCTGTTGGCCCCCGCCCGCCCCCGCTGGAGCCCCCCGGCAGCCCCTCGCAGAAGTCCCCGAAAGCGGCGGGCTTAGCCTTGGCTTCGGCGGCCAACTTGGTGGCCATGGTGGACAACCTGGAAGGCGACTCCGGGCGAGGCTACTACCTGGAGCTGCTCCTGGGCACCCCGCCCCAGAAGGTAAAGCGGAAGGCATGCTTTTGGCGTCTCTCTCGCCAGGAGAAGGGGCTGAGAGAGGGGACCCCGGCCTCACTTTGTCTGCCAAGACTCAGAGCTATGGTTCAACCTGGGAGGCAGCAGCGCTCTTGGGCAGAGAAGGCTCAAGACCTTGTATGAATGGGGGCATCTACACTAGGCATGGGCAACTTGCATAGATCAGGCATGAGCAACCTTGGACCCTCCCTCCAGATGTTTTGGACTTCAATTCCCACCATTCCTGACAGCCTCGGGCTGAGGGGGAAAAGGAAGGGGCCTGTGGCTGTCGGGAATGGTGAGAGTTGAAGTCCAAAACATCTTGGAGAGAGGGCCCAAGGTTGCCCATGCCTGATGTATACAGGTCTTCGCGGTGGCCAGGGGAGCATTCGCACAATTAAAACTTGTACCCCAGCTGCACCCCTACCTTGGGAAGTCTGACTTGGCCACAGTAGTCCACACTCTGGTTACATCCCATATATGTGGGGTTGCCTTTGAAGACTGTTCGGAAGCTTCAAATGGTCCAACAGGTGGCCAGATAGCGGCATTCATGGAGCATACAACTCCCATGTTACGCCAGCTCCACTGAGTTACATTTGCTACTGAGCACAATTCAAAGTGCTGGCAGCAAAAGTACGAAGGCTGGGACCCTACACTGAAGCACCGGGACTATGACGCAGCTGGCTGGGAATCAGCTGCATTAAGATCACTACTGACAAAAAGGTCATGAGTTTGAAGCCAGCCCGGGTCGGAGTGAGCTTCCGACCAATTTGTGTAGCTTGCTGTCAACCTTTGCAGCCCAAAAGACAGTTGCATCTGTCAAGTAGGAAATTTAGGTACCGCTTATGTGGGGAGGCAAATTTAAATAATTTATGAGGCCATAAAAATCTCCAGCAAGCATGCAAAGAATGAGGAAGTACTTCCTCAGTGCCACAAATGGTTGGTGAAGGGACAGCTCCCCTGGTAGCCAGAATACCCTCAAGAAAAAAGCTGGAATGTTAAATTGCCTCTCTGTCTGTCTATATATGTTGTGTGTCTATGGCATTGAATGTTTGCCATGTATATGTACATTGTAATCTGCCCTGAGTACCCTGTGGGGTGAGAAGGGCAGAATATAAATACTGCAAATAAATAAATAAATAAATGGAATACGTGTGAGAGACAGCACAGCGAGTGAGAGACACAGCTGCGAGGGAGGGAGGAGGGAGTCTATGGTTCACATGTCCTGCCGTCCCAGAGCCCTGGCTCCTCCACTGTTAGAAAGCGGATGGGGAAAAGCAGAAAAAGAGGGAAAGTGGGGAAGAATCCGGTTCCTGTCACTCTGTCCGCACTAGGGCCTTGTAAAAACCTTTCCCGGTCACCAGCACACTTTCTGCCCTTCGAAGAAAGCAACCCCAGCAGCTGGTAACAGTCCAAGTGGACTTCCCTTCATTAATTCTGACGCGCGTTGTGCAACTTGCGTAGGGTTCATAGGGTCCCAGCTATCTCACTTTTGCCATGCTGCCTTTGGCATATAATCCCTAAACTGTTCCGGCCCAGCGTACCTGTCCGAACGTATCTCTCCCTATGAACCATGTAGGAGTTTAAGATCATCAGGGGAGGCCCTGCTCTTGGTCCCGCCTTCTTTACAGGCGCAACTGGTGGGAACGAGAGACAAGGCTTTCTCAGTGGTGGCCCCCTGGTTGTGGAGCTCCCTTCCTAGTGATATTAGATCAGCCCCTTCCCTCCTGACCTTCTGCAGAAAAGTGAAAACATGGCTTTTTGAACAAGCCTTTGGGAACCTAGTGCAATAGATAAACACAGAAGTATGTGAAATCAAATCCTGGAATAGCTCAGATGATTATTTTTGGATGATGAGGCTAATAGTGAAGGTAGTGATTTTATATAATTTTAAAGGTTTTAATATATGTATTTTATAATTTTGTTTTAATTTTTACATTGTTTTCATGACATCAAATAGCTGCCTATATTGTAAAGCCGCCTTGAGTCACCTTTAGGTTCGAAAAAGGCGGGGTAGAAATATTGTAAATTCTGCTCGCACCTTTTTCCAGATCTGACATTTATCTTACGGGGAATGAAAAGTGATCTACGTTCGGTCTACGTCTTTGTCTACTGAGTGTAGTGTTTGCCTAAATGCCACTGCACATTCAGGCCAGTCTTGAAAAATCACACACATTCAGATTTATTTGTCTTGTGAGATTTCATGGGAAGACTTTGTCATGTGCTATTTTATTCTAGTTTATTTTAAAAAATCAAAACCACAAGGTAGACATACCATGCATAAAGCTAGAGCTTAGAAAAATTAGCTTTTTGGTCACACCCCTCCCCAGTCCAGAGTTATTATTTTAATGGTTTTGAAAGTTATCATTATTTTTAAAAATCTTTTCCCAATGGAACTACATAATACATTGTGTTGCTTTCAGTAATTCGTTTATTATGTTTTCTGGCTGTAGCGGGGAAAAAGGAATAGAGATTACAATACATGTGAATAGGCCCTTCCACACAGCGATATAACCCAGAATATCAAGGCAGAATGACCCACAATATCTGCTGTGAACTGGAATATCAGAGTCCACACTGCCATATAGCCCAATTCAAAGCAGATAATGTGGGATTTTATTCAGCTGTGTGGAAGGGGCTGTAGTCTTCTTTCTCTAATTCCTGTCTCCACCTATAACACCACAATGTCATTAATAATAAAACATAGTGTCCAAATGATAGTACAGTATCCCTTATTTGGAAGTTTGAAATAGTTTGAGTTCCAAAATTGTCCACATTGGTTGCTGAGATAGGGATACCTTTGATTTATGATGGTTCAGTGAACACAGATTTTGTGTCATGCACAAACTAACTTAAAATGTTTGGCATAACATGTGCCATGTCTATAAGGTGTGTATGAAACAAATGCATTTTCTGTGTTTAGACTTGTGTCCCAACTGCAAAAAAAAAAAATCTCATTATGAATATGCAAATAATACAAAGTCGGGGGGGGGGGACTGTTCCCAAACATTTGAAATAAGGGATACTCTACCTGTGTTTGGTCATTAAATCACTGCATGTAGCTATTTGTCTATTTATGAATGTTGGTAAAGTAGTAGAACTTGCAATCAGTGATTAGAAAGATTAGAGAGTGGAGTGACTTCCAAGATGTAGAAGGCAAGCGTCTGGGTAATATGGCCCAGGTTTGCTCTTTCTCCCTGGTTTCTGAGGGGTTTTTTGTGTAAGAAAAATAGTGTTTTGTGTGCAATAGAGCAAGAAACAAACTAAGTCAGTGATAATTAAGGTGAGTTGAGGTCAAATTTGAACCAAAGGCTTTCTGGTTCTTAGATCACACCCCCAGCCATTGTACAGTATTATACCAAGCATACTTTGGTTCACTGGAATGTCTTCAGCAGGAAGAGTGAGAATAATGTTGCTTGGGGAAATAATACTTGTAGAGCTGGTTGTTTCACTTCATATGGCTTAAAATGTAATCATTAGTATCAGACCTACAACAACCCATTAGTATCAGAGGTTGGAAGATTCAGATGCAAATTGCCAGATACAGCCCTTTCTCCACTGTTGTCTGGTTTCCCAGTGGTCATTTCCCAATTCTAAAAAAAACGTGAGTCTTATTTACTGGCAACAATAACATTTATTCATTACCTGTCTCTCCTGAAGGCTTAACACTGGGTACAACACAGTTAAAATATATAGTTTAAGAGCTTAGAGATAAAATATTTATTTATTTTATTTATTTCCCATATTTCTACCCCGTCCTTCTCAACCCCCGGAGGGGGACTCAGGACGGCTTCCATCTGGCAACAATTCGATGGCACTACATATAACAAGGCAATATAACAACAATTAAAACAATAAATAGAGCATTAATTAAAACAATAAAACAGTATTAACATAAATTTATGTCTGTTTTAGTCCCAACAGTGTTTCTTTCTTTGAGCCATTCTTCCCTGATTAGAAAGTGACCTCTGAAAACCTATGTGAATTGAAGCAAGATGAGAAGGGTTTCCACTCTTATTTTTCATACTTACTGGTAAGTGGGAAATAAGGCCCACTGAATTAAGTGTAATTCTAGACATTTACATAAATATTATTATTATTATTATTAACTTTATTTGTACCCCGCTAGCATCTCCCGAAGGACTCGATGCGGCTTACACAGGCCGAAGCCTCAAAACACAATACAATAGAAAACATAACACAACAATAAACAAAGCAAATCAAAACAATTAAGCAAAATAACAACAATGACAATACATCAATACATCAAGACACTATTAAAACTGGTTCGGCCGGCGCAATGGGGTACAGGGTTAAAAGTGCTGAGATGGCAGGAGGAACGTAGGATTAAAAGTGCGGTGTGCAGCAACATTGGTTGTGCTAAAGTGCTTCTAGGACTTGGGATGGGGGATTCCTAATCTGCGAAGGCACATCGGAACAGCCAAGTTTTTAGGTTCCTTCTGAAAACTGCTAGAGTAGGGGCCTGTCGAAGATCTTTTGGAAGGGCATTCCAAAGTCGGGGGGCCGCCACAGAGAAGGCCCTGTCCCGTGTCCCCACCAAGCGCGCTTGCGACGTGGGTGGGATCACGAGCAGGGCCTCCCCAGATGACCGGAGTGAGCGTGTGGGTTCGTAGATGGAGATGCGGTCACGCAGGTAGGGTGGTCCCAAACCGTTCAGGGCTTTGTAGGTGAGCACCTGCACCTTGAATTGGGCTCGGAAAATAAATGGCAGCCAGTGGAGCTCCTTAAACAGAGGGGTAGACCTCTCTTGATAATGAGCTCCAGTTAGCATCCTGGCTGCTGCCCGCTGGACCAATTGAAGTTTCCGAGCCGTCTTCAAGGGCAGCCCCACGTAGAGCGCATTGCAGTAATCCATTCTAGAGGTGACCAAGGCGTGGACCACCCCGGCCAGATCAGCTTCACGAGGTACGGTCGCAGTTGGCGCACAAGTCTCAATTGTGCAAAGGCCCTCCCAGATACCGCCGACA